TAGTAGGGCACTCAAAAAAAATTTCATCAAAATGGAACAATATTTTACCCTGCCGAATTGGTCTTAAACTTTAACATTGGATCCTTATGGGGAATTCTGCCCAAATCAATAAATTTGGGCTGGAGCAAAAAATATTTTATGAACTGAAATATAACGGTCAAAAACGTGATCTACTCGAAAAACCGAGTCAGAATATGTGCCGCATGTATTCGCAACACATTGCATTTCGATAAAACAAAATACTCAAAATTGCTAAAAATCGCTTAAAATTGTAAATTTGTGCATATTATTTTCGAAATGCGATGTGTTGCGAATGCATGCGGCACATATTCTGACTCGGTTTTTCGAGTAGGTCACGTTTTTGACCGTTATCTTTCAGTCCATAAAATATTTTTTGCTCCAGCCCAAATTTATTGATTTGGGCAGAATTCCCCATAAGGATCCAATGTTAAAGTTTAAAACCAATTCGGCAGGGTCAAATATTGTTCCATTTTGATGAAAATTTTTTTGAGTGCCCTACTAACCAAATTACACCCTTTGGTCAACAAGCATTTCAATATTTTAAGATGACCCCGATTTGTGTCCACCCTAGTGCTCGGCGCGGCGCGGGAAACCGTCCGCTACGCCGCACGAGACGAGACGCCGCGGCGACGGAGCCAGCCCGAAAATAATACCCATATAACGTAGTAATTCCGTCCCGATGACAAAGACGACAGATGCGACACGGCCGAGACGCGTGCCGGGCCGCGGGTAAGACGACGGCGACACACTCGCGCAAGCACGCTCGCACGCACCACGGCGGGCACCACCCTGTCCTTCATTAGAAGGGGGGAGGAGGACGGCGGCCGCGTCTTGGGGGCTGGGCCGAGGCCGGGCCCGCAATGGGAGAGAAGGAGACGGCGGCGGCGGCGGTGACATATGGACGGACATAGCCGAGTGAGCGGCGGTAAGAAGGGCCACGGTCACCGCGTCGGGGTAAATTAAACGCTGTCATGCGAGGAATTGACGCACACTTGTGAAGACCCAACCCCTCCTCCTTCCTCGCCTTCTCCCTCTCTCTCTCTGCCTCCTTATGCCATCCTTCCTGTCGTCTTCACCTACATAACGTCAGGTCATTTGTACCCCTCCATTAAGGATCAGGGGTCGGTACTTGTATTTCGGCACAACGGTCGCCTGCTGCGCGCGCGATCGTCACTTTATAATTTCCCCACTACAGTGCGGGTGTTTACTTTCGCCAACAAAGTAATGTGTTTCGACCGGCTAACGACACGATATACAAACAACTGAAAAACTGACCGACACAGGGGTAAAAGTGGTTGAAAGTATGAGGGGAACTGTGGAAGGAAAACAAATTCAAATTCAATTTTCCGCCATATATTCATGGCTGTCCGTGTCCGTGCGGCAGGGCGAGTGCGGCTGAGTGACACGCGCGACTAAAACACGAAAGCGCAGCGCGGAGGGCGCGGGAAGTAGGGGAGGAGGGGGTCATTAAATTTAGGCAGGTGCGATCCTTTCGGCGCGGGATACGCCATGCGATAAATGAGGGGTCACCCGAGCAGGGGAAAGGAGAGAGAGGAGGGGTGGGGGGTACGCGCGAGCTAACGGTGTGCTGTACGGGTGCGCCGTGCCGCGGTGGCCGCAGCTTGACCGGCGCCATAAAGTGACCATAGTGGACACGGGGCAGCGGAGAAGGGTCATACGCAGTGATCACATAGTCCCATACTCACCGAGGGCCAGCTCAGTCAGCTGCTGCTGATCCGGCACCTGCTGCGGACGACGGGGTCCTCGGAGTCCGCTCGCCGGCCTGCACGTCGTTAAAGTTGGCCGAGAGACGAGAGGCGGTACAGAGTCGAGCGCGGCCGCGACACCTGCGGCGGCGCCTCCTGCCCGCCGCGCCCCTCCTCCGAGCCGCGCCTGATAACGTCACTGATAAGGATAACGGGGAATGCCTAAAAAGGCGTTATCGCCCGAAATAAGGATCGTCGCCGGGAAACAGCGCGAACCAAAGTAAATCCAGGCGATCTAAGTGTGGTCTCCCGGGG